GGGGGGGGGGGGGGCTCATGTAAACACGCGTACGCGAGCACGTGCTGGGGCGTCACGCCACAACACTCTAAACTGTCGAGACGAGCACATCGGGAGCTACCGCGTTATTTTTTAGATTATTCCGTATCGGTTTCTAATACCGCGTTTCGATTTCGCGACAATTTGAGACGATAATTAAGACAAATTAAGACACGTAGTCCTTACGCGCGCAAGTGTTGCGGGCTGTACTGTTACAAGTAATTTCCGTGTTTTATTTACTTTTTACTTGTTAGAGAAACATCGCGATCGAGTTCCTCAATACCGATCAAATATCATCAAATTATCATGATCTATTTATTATTCGAATATTATTATGTCTTTCTTCAGCTGTCATTTAATTATTTTCATCTAATTCTTGCTGTCGTGTGTAATTAATTGATAACTACCGGATATTATTCTATAGTTGTCGATCAGATATTAATATCATCATCTATTAATTAATCGGGTTACCTATCGGGTAATCTATTATTACTTCTTTATTCAGCTGATTTAATTATTTCTTATTGCGCATTGGGAAGTGCTGTTACAATTTCTTTTCCTTATTTTGCTGTCGCGTATAATTAATTGATAATAAAAATTATTAAATTACTAAATTAAATTATTAAATTACTAAATTAAATTAAATTTCTGTAACAGAGTTCCAATAGAGCAGACGCAGTCACGCGGCTTTAGGGGATGCGATGCCTGGGGGATGCTGCGCTGGAGGATTCGGCTTGGGCCTGTCTGAGTCTCGGTTCGAAGGTGAGCTTTACTAATTTGTATTTATAATTAGAAATCCGACAAAACTGAAAATTTTTTTGTTTGGAATTGAGTTCCTTAATGTCTCTATCGTCATGTAACTAATTAATACTCAATTAAATCTGTTTTTTGTTCCAGAGACGAGCACTCGACTCTAAGGGGATGCTGCGCCGGAGGATCCGGCTCGAGCTTGGTAGAGTTGGCGCGAAGCTGAGTTTCACTAACTTGAATTCAAAATTCCGATAAATACGATGAAACTGGAAATTCTCTTGTTTGAAATCGAGTTCCTTCATGCCTCCATTGTGTGAAATACTAAATTAAATCTGCTTTCTATTGCAGAGACGAAACAGACGACCAGCCGACTCTTAGGGGCTGCTGCGCCGGAGGATCTGGCTCGAGCCGAGCGGGATTAGCTCGAAGGTGAGTTTCATTAATTAACATTTGTAATTAGAAAGCCGACAAGATGGATAATTCTTTTGCTCGAATTCGAGATAATTTGAATCGAATCAAAGATCGCGTTAAATCGTAATTACACGCGGAAAGAATTTTTTCTGAATTTTTTCTTTTTTAACATTTCCACTTGAAAAATTTTGATTTATTCTGATGAAGAGATTTATTTGCAACGTCGAGAAAAAGGAAAGTGGAATATTTCAAGTGTGAATGCATTCCGAAAAATTTTTTCAGAGTGTAAATTATTATGTTTATTCTTTTTTTAATCCTTCAAACTTCTTCACTCAAATCGTCATCAATGCACGAATCTAATCGGCGAAATTACATTTTTCTGTTCCAGAAACAAAAGCAGAATGTGGCTACCTTGTTCGGCGATTTGGTGAGTCAAAACAAGAAATATTGATAATAGAAAAACAAAAGGTCTTTCGATGTAGTGCATGCTTATCGAATCAATGCGATTTACTTTGCTGTAGTTGTAGTATGTGTACGTGCTGTCCAATAAAACTCACACTGCTCGAAACAATTTGAAGATCGCTTTTTCAAATCATATTAGTGATAATGCATATTTTACATAAATTTGGCAAATAAATTTTGAAGTATTTTTCTCCCAATATATATATATATAT